AGCCATCACTATGGTCCTCTCTCGGTTGTCACAGATTCACAAACCCAACTCTATTAAATTTAGTTTTGGTCTTTTTTTGTGGTTTGAATGAACGGTCACTTGTTGACTTGGCGTCTTTTTATCTTTTTTTGTTCTCAGGCCTTTGTGGGATGGTGGCCCACATGATGTTTACTACCATATTCCAGCTGGCTGTTGCCACCGGGCCAGAAGATTGGAGACCCAAAACATGGGACTACAGCTGGTCTTATTTGTAAGCAACGTTAACCTTCATCTCTGGCTGTTTTGACATTTTTACTCACTAGATCAAATAATCACGGCACAAATTAAGGCTCACTACCTTCCATTTTCTAAATAATCTTTTGCCTCTCGGGCTTGAGACTCATCCACAGCCACCGTATTGTATGCAGGCGCTCAATCAGTCAGCTAGGCAGCAGTATTGTGGGTTTAACTGACTTCCAAAAATTCCATGATGAACCGGACATTGGTAGACAGCGGTTCTACTGTCCACAGCCAAACTCTAGCAGACTCTTTCTGAGGTTGTAACAGTAGTTTATGTTTCCAGGAGTCACACTTCTGAGGTGAGGCATGCTTTCCCATTCACATTTCTGCACAGGTACAGCACCTCGATTCTTCTTTTTATAGCCATTCTATTGTAGTTTTGCTCCTGTGTTTGAAAAAAGAAACTGTTGTATGGTGCAGTTTGGGCCAAGATTTTTACCTGTCAAAACAAGCTTAAATCATAACCCCTGCACCACTGTGCTTACAGATATGGAGTGTTTGTTTTTCTCTAAATGTGGCGCTGTGCATTATGGTCAACTACAGGACATTGTTCCAGAAGTCTTGTGGTTGGTTCAGATTGAACTCTGCAATCCTAAGCCATGCTGCCATGTTCTTTTTAGAGAGAACATGCTTTGTGCTGGCAACCTTTGCACACACAATTTTGCTGTCATGAACTTTAAGCGAGTTTTAGCTCTGTGGATTTTTGCACTTTTCTGAGCATTGCACAGTCTGACCATGGGATGAATTTGCTGGGACGCCCATACCTGGTTGTGGCATTACTTATGTATTTCACATGAATGGAAAAACTTCCAAAACATCACACTTTTTGATAATTTTAATTGGTACATTTGATTAGCAGCACCTGGAAACAGTGAGGGTGGACTTACAGTACAGTCAGATTGTTCAACTGGCTTTCACTAACTGCACCAAAACTACGCGATTATGTGCAGAAGAGATGGTACTCACTGAACAACGAAGATGAAGGGTGCCAGGCACATTTAAAGAGAAGGATTTGGCATGTCTGTTGCTACACTGTGCAGTGTTGCATACCTGCCCAAAAATCTGGGAGTTTTAGTTTTGCCATTTGTGTTTTTATGTTTGTTGACAGATGGGTTGATATTATGACTGCAGTGTATGGATGCATGCATTCCAGTTATTCACAATAAAGGCTCAGTCAATGCTTTGCTGGTGAGTTCACAGGCCCAATCACTAATTTTGGGTCATACTAAAAACAGCTAAAGATTATAATCAGTGTTAGAGTCAGAAGAAGAGGATTATCAAGGGTACGTTCATTAGCTGAGGACTTGTTACTGAAAAGTCGTCAATGCAAAGGTCTGTCTCTCGGCTGTCAAGGTAGCTGACATGATTGGTTATATCCGTAGGACTGGATACAGTTACAACTACTGAGTTGGAAGACGACAGAAGCCCTGGGAATGGGATTACATTTTACCAGTTCTTGATTGTAAACTAAAATAGCACACAGCACAAACCACACTGCTGGTACGTCTGTGTAGAGCCATCTTACAGATGCAGCTCAGCAGTAGGCTAACCCTCTTTTTAACCCTCTCCACAGATTAGCATGGGGCTCTTTCGGCACCTGCATGGGGTCTGCAGTGACGGCACTGAACCGCTACACAAAGACGATCATCGAGTTTAAATACAAACGGCGGAACATCGAGAAGAGCCTGATGATAAAGCAGAACATGATGGAGATGAACGTCCCCGAGCAGATGTGGGACATGTACCTGACTACTGTGCCGGTTGATGCCGAGGCACCTCTAGAACTGCCGGTCAACGGCCACAAGCCGTCCACAGGAACAGCGTACGAGGTCGAAATGGACAATGTACCAGAACCACAAGGAGAGGCGTACTGTTAAAGATGGAAACGTTTCTGGGGTTGATTTCCTGGACCTACACCGACTCTTGTTCTTGGATTTAAATATTTACTTCAGGACTTTTTTTGTATATTTTGTTCCTCTCCACACATCAGATGTGTCTGGTTCTTAAAAAAAGATAATGTGAGAAGCGGGGAAGGGAAAAGGTACATTTCACACTAAACTGGATGTAAATGCTCCTGATGACAGACTGATCCTTCATTTCTGCTTTAGCTTCTGCTGAGCCAGCCTGTTTCATTTATGTTTGATCAAACTGTCCTCTGAAGAACGAGGCTCAATGATCTGCTCAGCAAGAGGAAGAGAAATTTACCTCATTCTGTACCATCAGGGACGTATCGCCGAATCATTGCAGGTCTACCTGCACAGACCAGACTCTGTTTGAAGTGTCCAGTAACATCTGATGTTGGACAGTCGGTCAACTATAAAAGATTTAAAAAAGACAAATTAATGTCAAATAGCAAACTGGGACACAAATGTCTGCCAAGACATACAAAACAACCACCGAACCTGTGAAACAACCACTCCACAATAAAAAAACCCAAGACAGCTGCAAAGTTTGTAGATATTCTCCACGACTGACTGTTCAGGATTTTCTTTTTTTTTTAAAGAACATCTCTCGATAAGATTTTACATCAGGAATTTGCCTTTTCTGTCAACTCCCCTGAAACAGCTGCTGTCTTTACACTCTGGTATGAGTGAGACATGCTGTATCTCAAACGCTGACAGCATCAGGCCGACACAGAAGTGCAGGAAAACATGTTTACAGGAGTAAGACTGACATCTGTTGGAACGAAAGCAGACAATAAAAACACAGAATATCTCTCGAGCTCACAGTTTCTGTCACTGAGGATGTAATGAAGATGAAATTAAATACAGCTGTGCTTTTCGCTGACTTCGTTGCTCTTCTAAAAACTAGCAAGCAAACCCAATTAAACGCTCGATTGTGGCCAATCTCTTGTCATGCTGCTGCTGCTGTTGCTGTGGGGGAATTAATCTCATCAGCTGGCGAGAATCCAGCTGTGCTCGCCAAACACGCTGATTTCATCTGTGATTCGAGGCTCGTGGTAACACCGGAGCCCATTTTTCCCACAATCTTTCTTTTTGTGATTTATTCTGCTGCATTTATTAACGTAGGCTCACTATAACAGTTATATTACTAATAATATCGATACCTAAACAAGCTTCTACATTACACTGCATCTTAGTTCCATATGGTTTGTATTACACATGGCCAAAGTTTCAACCAAAGAGGTCAAAGTATGTACAAGTAATACCTGTGAGATAGGGTACTTTAAACACTAAGGTTTACAAAGTCTTTTCTACTTTTGCCTCTGTATGATTCTGTGATTAGTTACTATTTATGCTAATTGCAAGCAATCTCTCAGTCTAAAGCTGGATTGATCAGCCAGGAAAAATTAAAGCAACTGCACTAATTAGCTTTAGTCCACTTCTGTTAACTGCCTTCTTAATATACAGACAGAAATACATAAAGTCTCTGGCCACAGTGTCAAATTATGAGGTCAGTGTATATAAAAGTAATTCCTGTGAATTAAAATCTCAGACTCTACTAGTTTGTTTTGTTTTTTCCCCACGCTTGTCTCTGTATGATCTCATACAGATAGTGGATATCCACTTTATGGTCAATCAGCCCTGAAGTCCCACTCATCTGCTGTTTATGTGGGGCAGCCAATCATCAGAAGGCTTCTTTCAAACAGAGCATGAAGTCAGGGCTCACACCAAAGCCTAGTATGAGATGAATAAAACTTATTTTGAACTGTGACTCATGCAAAGCTACTCTAGTGGGGTCCAGGAATAAATATACATGTGGAAATGAGCAATGTCCCTTTATGTAAGCTTTTTAATATAAAAATAACATAGCAGTTGTATTATTTACTCTACATATCAACTATATAATTCTGCATGTATAATATAATGATACGCTTGTAAGGTTTTTAATTACATTTTAATGAATTTTATTGGTAGAAAATTCAGTCATGCATGCACACAGTCTGATATTTTTTAAAAGAATCACAGTTTATCTGTTAAACTGTTCTTATTATAATACAAATATCACCTTCAACCCATTGGTTTAATTATATGTTTGGTTATTTTATCCAAATATAGTCCACATTACATTTAAAATTGTTTAAATGTACATTGAATTACATTGATGTGAGATTTCTCACTTGTACATTGCACACTGTGCGAGTGTAGTTAATTAGAGGTAGAATTACAGTATGTAGTCTAAGGAGCTTGGAAAGAAAAGCGTCTGGACTCCTTAGACTATGATGACCTGGATGACTGAGAACCTTCACAGACATACAGCATGTAGGTGCCATAGAAGCTGCAGTCAAGTGATGACAAACTCTTTATATCTCTGCTCTGGTTGTTCGTCAATGTACTTCTTTATGTACAAGCAGGAGACATGAGCCTTTAAGTTCTCTTCAACTACAAAGTCCAGCGCAGCCTGTTAAGAAACAAAACAAACATTAAAACTACTCAGAAAAAAATCACGTATGACCTGAAACGAGTTGACTGACACCTGAAGTTTTACCCTCGACAGCAGAGCTGCAACACCGTGGCCCCTGTATGTCTCGGGTACGAAGGTCGACATCAGGTCCACCTCCTTCTCCCCAGTGAATCTGTATTTCAGCACCCCATATTCATGGTCCGCTAGAAAGAGGACAGTAATGGCTCCTTATTATAATAATATTAAGCAGATGCTTATAGGAAGAGAAAAAAATTAAAAATCACCACATGATTTTTGTATTTCCTAGATTAAATTATCTCATGCTATTTCATAGAAAGTAATACAGCTTCTTTTCTTTCAAATTGGGAACTTGTGAAACTTTCAGCAAAATTAAATCAGTTGGAACAGAAAATACCAAATTCCCATCAAAAATACCTTCATTTAAACCCCAACTTCTCCCCTGCAACTTGTTGTGCTAGGTCTTGACTTAGCAAAGATTTCACCAAAATACATTAGTACAGATTACAATAAGTATGCCGATCTCTTAGCTAAGTGGCACTGAATCCTTTAAAATATATGACATTGATATGGGTTAAAAAGAAGCTGACTTTAACCAAAGAAAGCATTAAAACACACGTTTTTAAATGGAATTTCGCTGAGCGCTCTGCTTGCTACACACAAAACGCGATTTATGTGTGAGAGGGAGCCAAATAAAGAGCTGAAAGAGAAACACATCACATAACACAATATTGAATTCAAAATAATTAATCATCTCAAATGTCCTCCATCAGGCCGCGACGACACCTCGGGCTCTCTTAGAGGCTCTACGCGGGAAGGGGAGCTGCAACTCCGGCTGTGTGCTTACCAGTACTGCTGCCTGCGGTGACCGTGAAGCGCTGGTTACGTCGGTCATGTTCAACCTTTAAACTGCCGGCGGAGCTTAACGTACTGAAGGCAGTCTGAGAGGATTTCAGTCCGTGACTCAGTGTGCAGACTCTGGAAAGTATTCTAAAAGCCATTTATTAAAAAAATTAAATAAACCGCTAAAACACGACAGCGCGTCGACGATCAGGTCTTCTCTGACTTGTCCGCCAGAGTGCGCCATGAGGCAGGAGTTAATCATTAAATTCCTCTGACCTTCAAAACAAAATAATGGGATTCAAAGGATATTCATTTAACTGAAAACTGTCATATCAGAACAGTTTATTGGTAGTAATCCTAGTATTTTTTATAATTATTGGTTCCATTTTTGTAACTTTCTACTGAGAGACATTATAAGAGAGAAATTTGGCACTGGAAGAACCACAAGTTGACATCTGTGGTTGGGAACAGAGTTTATAAAATGATTTTTAAGAATAATTGTTCCATGCATGCAGTTTTTATGTCCCACCATTGAAATTTATGTTAAAATTAATTTAGATTTTGCTTCAAAATAACTGTTCAATTAAGAGTCCAGAGGTGTTTCAAGATGATTGATTTATTTAACCCAGTTATTTTATTTCAAAGAGCACCTCGGACAAAAGCAGCCAGGATATCTATATATAGCTGTGTGTTTCTTCACAGTCATAAATTTCATCACCTTGAAACATCCCTAACTATTTCAATCATAAACGTGAACCCAAATATGAAAATATTTCTGTATCTTATTTCCAAGCATTCTGTTAAAGCTCAATAACACCGGACATCATTCATGTAAAAGCTGTTTGTAAATGTATCTGTTAATTTGAGTCAAGTAAGTACAAACATTTCCAAAGTGTGGCGTAAATTATAGAGCAGTAAATTGTGGAATATATATATATATAT